TAAAACAATTATAAATCAAATTATATACAAAATATTATAAAACTTTTTGGGCAAAGCTTCTTATAAAAAGCTTTTTTTGTTTAACTTTACAGTACAAACAGTAATTAATAATATTTTTCTTTACTAGCTTTTTAATTAAAGGATTTCTGTACAAGAGTGACCGATTAAATAACGACATTTTTCTATAAAGTTTTGTTATTGCTAAAAAAGCTTTTCGATAAAAAGGTCCTTTTGCTAGAGTAAACAGATTGAGTTGTAGAATAGTACTATATAACAATTAAATAAAGAACTTTTGTATACACAAAAAAAAGCCTTTGACTTTAATGAAACAAATAAAAAGCCTTTTCCAAAAAAGTTATTTTTGCTATAATTTTAAAAAACTTTCACTTTTCTTTCAAAAAGCTTGTTAATTAAAGTATTTAGGTAAAAAAAACCTAGTAAAATAAACCAATTACCTAAAGAGCTTTTACTAGAAAGCTTTAATGCAACTAAAAGATGATTTTTTAAGTAAAATATTACATTTCTTTTGAAAGCTTGCTAATTAAAAAATTTAAGTGAAAAAAACCTTTGTAAAATAAAGCAATAACACACGGAGCTTTTAACTACTAGAAAGCTTTACCTCAGTTAAAAGATGTTTTTGTAAAAAAAAACTTTTCAATTAAAAGCATTTAAAATTACAACTTTTTCTTAAAAAGCAGTTTTACATAAAAAGCTTTTACTAGAAAGCTTTACTGCAGCAAAAGGAAAGCTTTACAACAGCTAAAGTATGTTTTTGTAAAAAAGTTTCCTTTCGATTGATAACATTTTTACAGCTTAAAAATTTTTTCAAAAAAGCTTTTTAAGCTTTCATTTTTTAAAATGCTTTGTAAAAAAAACTTGTCCAATTACTAGAAAGCTTTAGGTAATACAAGTAATATATGTTTTTGTAAAAAAGTTTTCTTTTCGATTAAAAGCATTTTTAATACTTAAAGCTTTTTCTAAAAAAGCAATTTCTGCTTTAATTTAAAAGTTAAACAGATATTAAGTCAAATAAAACTTTTAAAAGAGTGTTAATTGAAGAATTTGGGTGAAAAATCCTATTACACAATGAACTTTTTCTGCGGTTGCTGTAAAAAAGTTTCCAGGATATAAAGTTTTAATGACTTTCATTAGGATGCTCCACGGACCAAAAGAAGCCTTGTGCTAAAATTTGGATAACAACAATTATGAGGTAACAAAGACAGTCTGATATCACAAAATCGATTCAGATAGGTGTATATTAAAGGCAAATGTATGCCCAAATGCATAACAGATTCTCTTCTGTAACGTTATAGGGCAAAGGCATTCAATACTAAAACATTTACTTCTTTATTGTTACCATTATTCTTAGTCACCCTGGTGCATGTTGGAATGGATTTTATTATTATTGTTATTTATCTAACATAATCTTTTCGTTATCTTTAAAACCGCAATCTAAATGATGATGTATAATTTAGTAAAGCGCCTTAACGAAAGTGTTTTTGTGCCAAGTAACAACAACAGTTACCAAACTGTTGTTTTTATTTTAAACTTTATCGATGACTTTAAACGGAAATGATGAAAGTTTTACACTTTCTTTGCGCAAAAAAAAAGAAGAAATAAGAAAGAAAAAGATAAAAACTGAAATACTATTTTCAGTCAGCAAACAACCAAATGCAACAGCAGCAGCTTCTTCTGGGCCATACAAGTTTGGTTTAGCAGCTTTTGCCACTCAAACTGTAACGTTGTCATAAATTGCTCTAAAAAAACAACATAAAATGTAAGACACCGTGTTTTAAAAGAAGGCTGATATGCGTTAGAAGAAGATCTTCTACTTTGGCTCATAGCATTCTCATAGTCAGTCTGTCATGACTATAAATGTTGCAGGAGTAGTTAGATATGTGTTTTGGTGCTCTGTTTTAAAGCGTGCTACTTTAATCTAGCATTAAGAAAATCTTTATATGTATTTTGCTTAAAGAAACTAGTTACTTGCATACATACACTTAAAAAAAAAAGAAATGTGTAATAAGTACTCCAATCAATACGGAGTTTTATCAGCTGTACATTAAGTAGGATCTTTCTTAAACCAAGTACAAAAGTACTTGATACAAGTACGAATACGTTAAGTACAACTCTCTCGTTTTAGTCTTGAGAAAAATAAAGTTAAATTTTTTATACAATTTTTCTTTCTGTGTATATGAGCAAAAATAAAAAATAAACTGCATGTTGGCATAGAAAATTTGAATTAGTTCCAATGTTTGTGAAAATTTGCTGTTTTTACAATTTTTATCAAGTGTCTTCACTGACGTTGTATGTGGTCACATTATTAATATTATTAACTGTGGAAATCTGTAACCAAACGCATGAAATCGTAGATGGAAAATATTGAAATGCATAAGTCTTGTGTATAATTAAATGTTATGACAGATTGACATGATATGCTGAAGAGTGGATGAGTCGAGAGAAGAATATTTTGTATTATGTTAAATGTAGAATAAAGGATGTTAAGAAGAGGTAGCCCAGGTTTAAGGCTAAATAAACATGTTTTAAATCTAAAGCTATGTTCACACCTAACAAATATTTGATGAAAAGACACTATTTTTGTAAACAAATAATAAAGCAATCCTAAACTGATTACTTTAGATTGGGTTGTATAAAGAAATATGTATATAGTTAAAGGAAACCAAAATATCGTTTTTTAGGGGACGCGTTATTTTTGTCAAATAATTGTTAGGTGTGAACGTAGCATAACTAATCTTAATAGTGAAATGAGATGAAAATATTGAAATGACGGATTACAAAGGAAATTTTGAATATTTTTTTGAAAAAAATTGTGTTATTTATTCAATTAAAAAGATCTAAGATCTAATTTCACAGATATTTTTCGAATAGTACAAAGTTCTAGAAGAGTCTTTATAGAGTCTTCTAACTAACTAACTAACTAACTAACTAACTAACTAACTAACTACAACTAACTAACTAACGAAAACAAACTACTAACTAACTAACTAACTAACAACTAACTAACTAACTAACTAACTAACTAACGAACTAACTAAACTAACTAACTAACTAACTAACTAACTAACTAACAACTAACTAACTAAACTAACTAACTAACTAACTAACTAACGTAACTAACTAACTAACTAACTAACTAACTAACTACTAACTAAAAAACTAACTAACTAACTAAAACTAACTAACAACTAACTAACTAACTAACTAACTAACTAACTAACAACTAACTAACTAACTAACTAACTATAACTAACTAACTAACTAACTACTAACTAACTAACTAACTAACTAACTAACTAACTAACAACTAACTAACTAACTAACTAACTCACAACTAACTAAACTAACTACAACTAATAACTAACTAACTAACTAACTAACTAACTAACTAACTAACTAACTAACTAACTAACTAACTAACTAACTAACTAATAACTAACTAACTAACTAACTAACTAACTAACTAACGACTAACTACAACAACTAACTAACTAACTAACTAACTAACTAACTAACTAACTAACACTAACTAACTACTAACAACTAACTAACTAACTAACTAACTAACTAACAACAACTAACAACTAACTAACTAACTAACTAACTAACTAACTAACAACGAACTAAACTAACGAACTAACGAAACTAAACTAACTAACTAACTAACTAACTAACTAACTACTAACTAACGAACTAACTACGAACTAACGAACTAACGAACGTAACTAACTAACTAACTAACTAACTAACGAACTAACTAACTAACTAACAACGAACTAAACTAAACTAACTAACTACCAAACTAACTACACTAACACTAACTAACGAACGAACGAACGCAACGAACAAACGAACCGAACGAACGAACGAACGAAACTAACGAACGAACGAACGAAGAACGAAACGAAACGAAGACGAACGAACTAACAACGACGAACGAACGAACGAACTAACGAACGAACGAACTAACGAAAAACGAACGAACGACAACGAACGAACGAACAAGAACGAACGAAACGAACGAACGAACGAACGAACGAAACGAACTAACGAACGAACGAACGAACGAAACGAACGAACGAACGAACGAACGAACGAACGAACGAACGAACGAACAACGAACGAACGAACTAACGAACTAACTAACGAACGAACGAACGAAACGAACGAAACGACGAACGAACGAACGAACGAACGAACGAACGAACGAACTAACGAAGAACGAACGAACTAACGAACGAACGAAAGAACGAACGAAAACGAACTAACGAACGAAAACGAACGAAACTAACTAACGAACGAACGAAACTAACGAACTAACAACTAACGGACTAACGAACGAACTAACGAACGAACGAAGAACGAACGCACTAACGACGGACTAACGAACGAACGAACGAACGAACGAATGAACGAAGAACGAAACGAACGAACGAACGAACGAACGAACGAACGAACGAACGAACGAACGAAACTAACGAACGAACTAACGAACGAACTAACTAACTATACTAACTAACTGAACTAAGCTCACAACTAAACTAACCGAAGCTAACGAATACTAAACTAACTAACTGAACAACTAAACTAACTCAACTAACTAACTAACTAACTAACTAACTAACTAACTAACTAACTGACTAACTAACTAACTAAAGCGTTAGTGTTGGTCAGTAGTTGCACTCTTGATCTTGATCAAGAAAAACTATCGAAATCGTGAATCTGGGATCTTTAAAAATCATAATTTTTTTCCGAGTTTTGACATTATATCATTCTCTATAATGAGAAGACGATCAGTTATAGTTGATTTGAGACCTTTTTTAAAACATCTTACATATTTAAACTTTTTTTAAATTTACACAAAATTATGTGAAATAGGATCACAATACGATCAATAAATATTTTTACTAAAGCTTATTTTGAACTGTAATTTAAAAATTTCTTGATTTTATTTTAACAATTTCAATTATTTCTATTTACAGGGTTCTGATCCTCGAGCTGCCACATGTCGTGGAAAATTACAAAGTCGTCGCTGTAAATTAAATCAGGAAATCAACAAAGAATTACGTTTACGAGCCGGTGCTGAAAACCTCTTTAAGGTAATTATTAAAGAAACATTTCATGATCATTAAGAACATATCGTAAACCCTATATAATGACTAATTTATTTATTTACATTTACCCCCAATTACAGGCAACCACAAATCGTAAATTACGTGATACCGTAGCTCTAGAATTGAGTTTTGTCAATTCAAATTTACAATTATTAAAAGAACAATTGGCTGAATTAAATTCATCAGTGGAAATTTATCAAAACAATAGGTGAGTAAAATCCATATATCGATCGATAATATTTAATAAATAACACAAAACCATTTAAAATTATTTAACATTTAAAGAAAAAAACAAATAAGGAAATACTTTTAAAAATGTTTTGTATTACAATTCACATAAATTTTCATTTGATCTGAGTTATAAATACCAACATGAATTTATTTTTTTTTTAATAATTCTACATGCAAAAGGTCAATTTCATAAAACAAATATTATTTCTGTTGTTATTTTTTTCCTCCACCAACAATGTCCACTTCTTTTATATTTTTAATATTAAATTTATGCAACTTCTGGCTGAAAAAGAATAAGCCTCTTGTCTTTTAAAGACCCTGTGTGTGGTTTTTATACCCTACACCACTTTATTGGGGAGGGTATATTGGATTTGTGCTGATGTTTGTAACATACAAAAATATTCGTCCTAGACCTTAAAGTATACCAATCGGCTTAGAATCGTTTGCTGAGTCGATTAAGCTATGTCCGTCCGTCCGTCCGTCCGCCCGTCCGTCTGGCTGGCTGTCCATGTAAACCTTGTGCGCAAGGTACAGATATTTTCAAGATAATTGGATGAAATTTGGCACGCACGTTTTATTTGACCCAAGGACGAAGCATATTGAAAATGGTTAAAATCGGTCCATTATTTCACCTAGCCCCCATAGAACAGAACCCCCCGAAAAGGGCTTCTGAGATCATAATTATATTAAATATACAGATATATCGATAAAATACGGCACAACTAAATTTTATAGAAGTCTTGATGACCCTGCCAAATTTCATAAAGATCGGGCCCCATTTGACCCTAGCTCCCATACAAAGTGCCCTTCAGAAAATTACTTGAATGTCCCAAATTAACTTATAAACACAAATATCGCGATGAAATTCAGCACAATAAAATATTATGTAAATAGAAATATATTCACAAAATTTTATCGGGCTTGGTCCATATTTGCCCTAGCCCCCATATAAAGCCTCTTTCAGAAAATTAGTTTTTCATCCATAAATTGCTTAAATGTATCGGAACAAGGGAATATTGAAGATAAATGCTTTATTATGAAAAATAAATCACATTTAATATTCATAACTGGTGTAGGGTATCATATGGTCGGCCACGCCCGACTATACTTTCTTACTTGTTTATTTATATATACATATATTTTTATATATGTATATAGTCAGATTCTTTTTAGTTGTTGTTATTGTTAAACATGCATGTTTGTTTGGTTCCTTCGTTTATTCTTAAAAAAGTATTGTTTTTTGAAATTCTTCCTGTAAACCATTAAGATTTTAAGTTACCGATTGATTTAAGTCATTCATGGGCTTTGTATCTACCTTTTGTTTTCATACACGTACATATGAAATCTGCAAACTTTAAATAAAGTTTCTTTAGAATATTTTTTCTTCTGGTATCGATTTTATAATGTTAATGTTAGAAGGAAGTGTTTTGTTTTTGTGGCCGTTGTATGTTTACTTGGATTTTACCTTAAGTATTGTTTAAAGTCATGCAATCTTATTCCCAGAGGCTGTAAATTTATATTGTTTGTAATTGTTTTAAATAGTCGCTGTTAAGAATAAACTGTAAAGGAAAAAAAACTTTATATATTTAATTAACTTAAATAACGAAATGAAAATTTATTTTAATATTTAAAAAGGAAAAATTGTTAGTGAACTTAATTAGGTATTTTCTTCGAAACATTATACTTACTTTATTAGGAAATTTGTTGGGATAAGTATCCATAGGTTCCAGTTCCGTTCTTGTTCAGTTTTAGTCTAGTTCAGTTCTAGTTCAGTTCTAGTTCAGTTCTAGTTCAGTTCAAGTTCAGTTCTAGTTCAGTTCTAGTTCAGTTCTAGTTCAGTTCTACTTCAGTTCTAGTTCAGTTCTAGTTCAGTTCTAGTTCAGTTCTAGTTCAGTTCTAGTTCAGTTCTAGTTCAGTTCTAGTTCAGTTCTAGTTCAGTTCTAGTTCAGTTCTAGTTCAGTTCTAGTTCAGTTCTAGTTCAGTTCTAGTTCAGTTCTAGTTCAGTTCTAGTTCAGTTCTAGTTCAGTTCTAGTTCAGTTCTAGTCAGTTCTAGTTCAGTTCTAGTTCAGTTCTAGTTCAGTTCTAGTTCAGTTCTAGTTCAGTTCTAGTTCAGTTCTAGTTCAGTTCTAGTTCAGTTCTAGTTCAGTTCTAGTTCAGTTCTAGTTCAGTTCTAGTTCAGTTCTAGTTCAGTTCTAGTTCAGTTCTAGTTCAGTTCTAGTTCAGTTCTAGTTCAGTTCTAGTTCAGTTCTAGTTCAGTTCTAGTTCAGTTCTAGTTCAGTTCTAGTTCAGTTCTAGTTCAGTTCTAGTTCAGTTCTAGTTCAGTTCTAGTTCAGTTCTAGTTCAGTTCTAGTTCAGTTCTAGTTCAGTTCTAGTTCAGTTCTAGTTCAGTTCTAGTTCAGTTCTAGTTCAGTTCTAGTTCAGTTCTAGTTCAGTTCTAGTTCAGTTCTAGTTCAGTTCTAGTTCAGTTCTAGTTTCAGTTCTAGTTCAGTTCTAGTTCAGTTCTAGTTCAGTTCTAGTTCAGTTCTAGTTCAGTTCTAGTTCAGTTCTAGTTCAGTTCTAGTTCAGTTCTAGTTCAGTTCTAGTTCAGTTCTAGTTCAGTTCTAGTTCAGTTCTAGTTCAGTTCTAGTTCAGTTCTAGTTCAGTTCTAGTTCAGTTCTAGTTCAGTTCTAGTTCAGTTCTAGTTCAGTTCTAGTTCAGTTCTAGTTCAGTTCTAGTTCAGTTCTAGTTCAGTTCTAGTTCAGTTCTAGTTCAGTTCTAGTTCAGTTCTAGTTCAGTTCTAGTTCAGTTCTAGTTCAGTTCTAGTTCAGTTCTAGTTCAGTTCTAGTTCAGTTCTAGTTCAGTTCTAGTTCAGTTCTAGTTCAGTTTTAGTTCACTTCTAGTTCTCTTCTTCTTCATTTCTAGTTCAGTTCTAAAATGAACATTAGTTATCTCCTTTAAGGAACAGATTAGGCCTTTGAAATACTAATTAATTTAAACACCTATCTAACCTTAAAAAAATTTAAAAAGTAAAACTACGTTTTACTTTTGATTTTGCAAAATTTATAATAAAATAAATATTTACATAGTTTTCATTTGGATATTTATAAAAATGTTGATCACTTCATATAACTTGAGTTATCAAACAGTGAATTACATACACTTGTATAGATATTACCGTATTACAAGAAACTAAATATAGTTTATAACATTTTGTCACGTTTAAACAATTACTAAAGTAACAATAATTAAAACGTAGAAGCTGACAAGGTTGCAACGAATTAAAAAAACACTCCTTCAATAAAGATTTTTAATTATTAAAAAAACTAGAACTGAAGAAGAAGTGGTGATAAAGTAATTCTAAATGTAATCGTACTTTTGTCATAGAATTTTGGGATTTATATAGCAAACTTTATTATAACTTAAAAACACCTTTTCACTTAAAGTAGCGTACACAAAGAAGTGGAAAACCTACTTGAGAATGAATTTTAACTAAATTTGCCAGAACAACTTAACTGTTTTCTAGCTAAGAGCAAAAAATGTGTTTGTATTAATTACCTTTTTTAAAAAAGGTAAACATTTTATTAAATTAATGAAAGAAAGAAAAAACAAACTAATTAATATTTATTTATTTTGTGTGATATAATGAACAAACAATTCTAAAAACACGCTAATTGTTAGGAGTTTAATTTTATAAAATAATTAAATAAATATTTATGTTTGTTTAAAAGTTTAAAATTAAAATAAGTAAATAAAATTATTTTGCACTTAGTTTAAAATAACATGTGACTAAAGATTTTATATAATTTTATAAACTTTTATAAAAGAGAAGTTTTTAAAATCATATAATTTTCCATTTCGTTGATTTTAGTAGAATAAAATATGATTTATAATACAAAACTGTTAACAAATTTATTTTTAACTTTTGTTAGATATTGATTGCATTTTCCCTGTAATTATTAGCTATTAAATAATATTTATAAAAAAGAATAAAATAAAAGTATTAATTTTATTTGTATACAAATTTTTAAAAAACTAAAAGTAAAATTTCTCCCAAAAAATTGAAATTTTTATAAAAAAATGTAAACAACCAGTGTTTATTATAACTTTTTTATGCAAAAACAAGTGAAACAAAACGCTTCAGTGATTTCGAAAATCACTTGACCAGAACTCAAAAAACACAATTGTTTTTCTATAAAAAATTGTAATAAAACAACACAATTTTTTTTGAATTTTAATAACAATAAAAAAATGTTTATAAAATTAAAATTTTGTTAATTTAGATAGGAAAAGGCTTGGCTGTTAAATGACATCTCTGACAAATAAAAAAGAGTAGATAAAAATATCAGATTGGATTTTTTTTTAAAGCTCTCATAAAATGTTGAATCATTTGGAAGAATTTTAACTTTAAAAGCAAAAAAGGCCGCCTTCTATAAATTACAAAAATAGCAAATATTTTAAATATTTTTTCTCTGTTTTATATGAATATTTGAAAATTGTCAGGTGACTTTGGTGAATCATGTTTTTAAAATTTGTATTCTACTTTAATAATAATTGTTCTACTTATAAATAATGATTTTTATCTGGTATTAGATTAATTGCCTAATTGCACGTTCACATTAATGAAATATTGTTGATCGCGACGTCATCGCTCAAAATAAAATTTATTACAAAGTAATGCGTATGATAAGTTTTATTTATATCAGTACTCTCTGAATGGTTTTATCAGAATTTATACATTTGAAAGCATCAGAATTCATGAGAGAGCTTTTTGCCAATGTCTGTTTTAAAATGGGAACAGGAAATAAATAGAAAAACCGTATTTTATTAAAGTTGTATAGTTTAGACTATAGACTAGACTATAAACTAGAATATAGACTAGACTATAGACTAGACTATAGACTAGACTATATACTAGACTATAGACTAGACTATAGACTAGACTATAGACTAGACTATAGACTAGACTATAGACTAGACTATAGACTAGACTATAGACTAGACTATAGACTAGACTTACTAGACTATAACTAGACTATAGACTAGACTATAGACTAGACTATAGACTAGACTATAGACTAGACTATAGACTAGACTATAGACTAGACTAGAGACTAGACTATAGACTAGACTATAGACTAGACTATAGACTAGACTATAGACTAGACTATGACTAGACTATAGACTAGACTTATACTAGACTATAGACTATAGACTAGACTATAGACTAGACTATAGACTAGACTATAGACTAGACTATAGACTAGACTATAGACTAGACTATAGACTAGACTATAGACTAGACTATAGACTAGACTATAGACTAGATATAGACTAGACTATAGACTAGACTATAGACTAGACTATAGACTAGACTATAGACTAGACTATAGACAACTATAGACTAGACTATAGACTAGACTATAGACTAGACTATAGACTAGACTATAGACAGACTATAGACTAGACTATAGACTAGACTATAGACTAGACTATAGACTAGACTATAGACTAGACTATAGACTAGACTATAGACTAGACTATAGACTAGACTATAGACTAGACTATAGACTAGACTATAGACTAGACTATAGACTAGACTATAGACTAGACTATAGACTAGACTATAGACTAGACTATAGACTAGACTATAGACTAGACTATAGACTAGACTATAGACTAGACTATAGACTAGACTATAGACTAGACTATAGACTAGACTATAGACTAGGGACTATAGACTAGACTATAGACTAGACTATAGACTAGACTATAGACTAGACTATGACTACGACTATAGACTAGACTATAGACTAGACTATAGGACTAGACTACTAGACTAGACTATGACTAGACTATAGACTAGACTATAGACTAGACTATAGACTAGACTATAGACTAGACTATAGACTAGACTATAGACTAGACTATAGACTAGACTATAGACTAGACTATAGACTATGACTATAGACTAGACAATACTAGACTAGACTAGGCCTATAGACTAGACATAGGACTAGCTAGGACTATAGACTAGACTATAGACTAGGACTATAGACTAGACTATAGACTAGACTATAGACTAGACTATAGACTAGACTATAGACTAGACTATAGACTAGACTATAGACTAGACTATAGACTAGACTATAGACTAGACTATAGACTAGACTATAGACTAGACTATAGACTAGACTATAGACTAGACTATAGACTAGACTATAGACTGGACTATAGACTAGACTATAGACTAGACTATAGACTAGACTATAGACTGGACTATAGACTAGACTATAGACTGGACTATAGACTAGACTATAGACTAGACTATAGACTGGACTATAGACTAGACTATAGACTAGACTATAGACTGGACTATAGACTAGACTATAGACTAGACTATAGACTAGACTATAGACTGGACTATAGACTAGACTATAGACTAGACTATAGACTGGACTATAGACTAGACTATAGACTATATAGACTGGACTATAGACTAGACTATAGACTAGACTATAGACTACTATAGACTACTATAGACTAGACTATAGACTAGACTATATAGACTGGACTATAGACTAGACTAGACTAGACTATAGACTAGACTATAGACTAGACTATAGACTAGACTATAGACTAGACTATAGACTAGACTATAGACTAGACTATAGACTAGACTATAGACTAGACTATAGCTAGACTATAGACTAGACTATAGACTAGACTATAGACTAGACCTATAGACTAGACTATAGACTAGACTAGAGATCTAGACTAATAGACATAGACATATAGACTAAAGACGATAGACTAATTATTAGACTAGACTATAGACTAGTACTATAGCTAGACTAGACTAGACTATGACTAGACTATAGACGAGACTATAGAATAGACTATAGAACTATGAACTAGAACATACTAGAACTAGACTATAGACTAGACTATAGACTAGAACATTAAGACTAGACTGACAGGTGACAATTACGCTTTATCGATAAGCTGCAGTTTGACACGAGACCCTGGGCAAGGAAGATCTAATATCACTGTAACGTAGGCTTATTGTTGAAATAAATTGGTTCCTAAATTGTCTCTTTATGTTCTATTCAGGTCAAAAACATTTTCAAAGTAAATTTTGTAAGAATTTTACTAATTAAATGATAAAGCAATTTTTTTACAAAAAAAGCACTTATTCTCATAATTTTTCAAAATATGACAATTCATTGTAGTTTAAGCAAAAAAAAAAGTATAAAATAAATAAACCAGGAAATGAGGACAAAAGCTCTCAGATTCTTAAGAATTTTATTTAATAAATAAAACAATCAATAGCTTAAATATTATTTTTTGCAATAACAATAACAATGCTCATGATGAGCTTTATTCTTTATGGAAATAATGATGAGCTTAATGATGTGGTACTTTTTTTCTCTTAAACAATTGCCTGTATTTTAAGATCTTTTACTTTTTTGTAAAGTTTTTTCTTCTTCTTTTCTTAGTTGACATTATTTTGTGCATGTTCGCTGCTTATTTTTGGTGTGATCTTTTATGTTTTTCTCTTTCTTATTACTCATACATACTTACGATGCTATTGTTATTTTTTGTGATTTTTCAAATTTATTTTTTTCTTATTTTGTTGCTGGGTTTCTTCTTATAATTTATATATTTTTTTTAAATTATTTTTACAACGCAATTTTATGATTTATGTGAAATTTTGTTTGAGATTTTCTTTATAAAAATCGTATAAAATTTAGGTTAAGAGTTTAAAGTTTGTTATGTTTCAAACCCAGACTGTAATGAAAAAAAAAAATGACAAAAATATTCGGTATTGAGTTAAAGAAAGTTATTAAGGTAACGAACTATTAATGGTTTTTTGATCGTTTAGAAGAAAAAAAGTCATCTTCATTTTATATATCTTAGCATTTTAATGAGATTTTTAATATAATGACAATAATTACCAAGTTTTCTGATTCACAAACTGAACTAGTTCGCTGATTTAGCTGAGCTTTAGTTGACTGTATGATTTATTATTTCCCACACTGTATTAGTACCCCCACAAAACTTTTCTTTTACAAGCTACCCAAACACTCAATAGAAAACTGTATTTATTAAGCTTTTAAATTTTAATAAAAACACCATTAACAAATAACTTATTAACTACTTAACAAAATGATTTATGAACTACAAAACTATTACATGATTTTTACAATAAACTAAAAAATTTAATAAATTATCTTAATGTTTATATTGTTTTGTTTTTCTCTCTCTCTCTCTCTCTCTTTACAGTCAAGATGGTGTAATGCCCATGATACCATTAGGTTTAAAAGAAACAAAAGAAATTGATTTTATGGAACCGTTTTCCGATTTTATACTAGAACATTATAGTGAAGAACCATCAATGTATACAGATGCTATAGCCGATATAACAGATACAAGACAGGTGAGTTTAAATCCAATTAGAATTTCCTGAAGAACTAGATAACTTTGCGCTCCAAATCTTCAACAACGCTATCGAGCAAAATCATTCCATAGGATTCCGAATAGCCGATTCTAGCACTAGATTTATTACTTGTTTATTAAAATATTTGTATTTTTAAAATATTTTCTTTAAATTTATTATTTTTTTCATATTTTTAGGCCTCCAAAACACCCAGCCGCGATAGTCAGGGTGTGGCTTTACTCTTTCGCTACTACAATTTATTGTATTATGTTGAAAGACGTTTCTTTCCACCAGATCGAAATTTAGGTGTCTATTTTGAGTGGTATGATTCGTTAACCGGTAAGTACTAAATTCTATAAAACTTCAATAATGTAACTAAGATAATTCTGATAAGAACTTTAATTTTCAATAAAAATCTATTTTAATCTCTTCTTTCATAGGCGTCCCCTCTTGCCAACGCACAATTGCCTTCGAAAAGGCCTGTACTCTTTTCAATTTGGGTGCCATTTATACACAAATCGGTGCCCGTCATGATCGTACCACAGAAAAGGGTCTGGATGCCGCTGTCGATAGTTTTCTACGTGCTGCCGGTATATTTCGTCACATTTACGATACCTTCACCAATGCACCCTCGATGGATTTGAAACCGCAGGTTTTGGATGTTTTGGTATCGTGCATGTTGTCGCAGGCACGTGAGTGTCTGTTCGAAAAGTTGCAATTACAAATCGAGTCATTGGGTTTAACGGAATCGAGTCATGTAAGTGTTTATTAATAAAAATTGTTTTAAATGCAAATACATTCGAAAATATAGTCTAGTACATAGTCTAGTATATAGTCCAGTCTATAGTCTAGTCTATAGTCTAGTCTATAGTCTAGTCTATAGTCTAGTCTATAGTCTAGTCTATAGTCTAGTCTATAGTCTAGTCTATAGTCTAGTCTATAGTCTAGTCTATAGTCTAGTCTATAGTCTAGTCTATAGTCTAGTCTATAGTCTAGTCTATATAGTCTAATCTATAGTCTAGTCTATAGTCAAATCTAAAGTCTAGTCTATTGTACAGTCTATTGTATAGTCTAGTCTATGGTCTAGTCTATAGTCTAGTCTATAGTCTAGTCTACAGTCTAGTCTACAGTCTAGTCTATAGTCTAGTCTATAGTATAGTCTACAGTCTAGTCTACAGTCTAGTCTATAGTCTAGTCTATAGTCTAGTCTATAGTATAGTCTACAGTCTAGTCTACAGTCTAGTCTATAGTCTAGTCTATAGTCTAGTCTATAGTCTAGTCTATAGTCTAGTCTATAGTCTAGTCTATAGTCTAGTCTATAGTCTAGTCTATAGTCTAGTCTACAGTCTAGTCTACAGTCTAGTCTATAGTCTAGTCTATAGTCTAGTCTATAGTCTAGTCTATAGTCTAGTCTATAGTCTAGTCTATAGTCTAGTCTATAGTCTAGTCTATAGTCTAGTCTATAGTCTAGTCTATAGTCTAGTCTATAGTCTAGTCTATAGTCTAGTCTATAGTCTAGTCTATAGTCTAGCCTATAGTCTAGTCTATAGTCTAGTCTATAGTCTAGCCTATAGTCTAGCCTATAGTCTAGTCTATAGTCTAGTCTATAGTCTAGTCTATAGTCTAGTCTATAGTCTAGTCTATAGCCTAGTCTATAGCCTAGTCTATAGTCTAGTCTATAGTCTAGTCTATAGTCTAGTCTATAGTCTAGTCTATAGTCTAGTCTATAGTCTAGTCTATAGTCTAGTCTATAGTCTAGTCTATAGTCTAGTCTATAGTCTAGCCTATAGTCTAGTCTATAGTCTAGTCTATAGTCTAGTCTATAGTCTATTCTATAGTCTAGTCTATAGTCTAGTCTATAGTCTAGTCTATAGTCTAGTCTATAGTCTAGTCTATAGTCTAGTCTATAGTCTAGTCTATAATAGTCTAGACAGTAGTCCCTATCTATAGTCCAGTTAGTCTTTCATTCTTTTTTATCTCAAGTAAAGTTCTTGTTTGTTCTGTTATTTTGAAAAAGTTTCCTTCTAAAGTCTTTCTCATTTTCTTTTACTCCAAACCAAGTTTGTGTCTTTAGTCTTTGGATGATATTTGCTTTGTAGTAGTCTTTCTAATCAATATTCTCATATATTCTCTCACTCCTGTCACAAACTCTTTGTTTGGCTATAAATAAAGTTTGTGTCTTAAATCCTTTGTTAGAAATGAAAAATATAATTTTTTAAATTTTTTATTTGAAGATTTTAGCTCAATTATATTAAATATTTCGCTTAAAAATTCCATTTATAACGAAATTTTTCTCCAAACAAATCTTACTTTTTGCAGCTTTTTAAAGATTTAGCTGGCGAAGCAGCACAACTAACACAAGAGTACAATGAAATGCACAAAAATATACAATTAAATGATACCCATACATATTTGCCTGAATGTTGGGCTGGTCTAGTGCCACTCAAAGCTGAATATTATAAAGGTGAGTAAACAAAACTTCTAAACAACAACAACAACAACAACATCATCATCTTCGTTATATAATATTGAGATGATGTTGGCAACAAGTTTGCAAAAAGGTTTGACAAAAATTCTGAAAATGCTTTGTATATCTTTCACTTCTAGTTAGTTAGGTTTTTGGTTTTGTTTCTAATGCAAAGATTACAATCATGATTTTGTTTCTTGAGTTTTATTTTCAATTTGATTTTACGAGTTTCTTTAAAGCTCTGCGTGTGAACAATCAATAATTTATGCCACAAAAAGTTTGTTAGGTTTTTTGTTTAAGCAATACTTTGTTTACTAAATAGTAATGCAGTCAAAAGACAAATAACTAACTAACAGACTAAACTCGATCACCTTGCATTAATAACAAAAACAACAACAACAACACTGCCAGCAGTAGCATCATTGTTAAACAAAACAATGCAAACTATAAAACAACAAAATCCAACACATTTTTCAAAAAATTTAACAAAAACTTCACCAAATTTCAAGTTGTACTAGTGGAAGAAGAATTATTATTAAAAAAATATTATTTAACATTTCATAATCTGTTTCTGGTTTTAACTCTTTCCCATGCAGCTCTGGCTCATCATTATGAAGCTCGTAGCATAGATGCCAAGGATGACAAAGCTTCCTTGAGTACCAAAAAAAGTCAAGCCACCTCAAATGAATCGTTTATTGGTAATGCGCGGGAGGCGATGCGCTGTGCTGCCGATGACAGCGATGAGGAGTGCACAAGTTTGGCGGCCTTAAAACGGGCACATTTAAAAGAAGCAATGGCTAGTCATGAAGAAACACAACGTCTGCAGCGCATGTGTCGTTATTTAAAGGTGAGTGAGCGAGTGAGTGAGTGGTGGTGAATCTTGAAATGTAGAAAAACTTATAATAGTGAAATATAATATTTATGTGTGGAAACTAAAGCTTTACTTTGTGTAGAAGTCTTTTATTTTCATTTTTTTGTATTTTTAAAAGTGGCCTTTTTATTGGGTAAGGGAAAAAGTAATTAACTTCTAAGATTGAAGGTAGAAGGTTTAGGGATTTAATTATCTTTCAAATACTAACATTTTAAACTTAAACAACAGCATTATAAAAGCTTTGCGTTAAAGCTTTTTCCAAATTATCTTTTCACTTAAGTTAAAAAGCTTTTATAAGACTGTAATTGATTACTAAGCTTTGATTATAGGATTGCATTGAGATGATTTTAAAGCTTTGAGTTTAAGCCTTTTTCTTCAACTAACATTATTATGTTATATATTTTAAATTGAAAAGCTTTTATTGATTTGTAAGATCTGTTTAAAAGCTTTTGCATAGCTTTGATTATGCGTTTTTTATAATATGGAAATAAAAGCTTAAACAAATTTCAAGCTTTAATTTATTAAATCTTTGTACTAAATGCTTTTGAATTTTGTATTATGAAAATAAAAGCTGTCGAATAGTTTTAAAAGCTTTAAATTGAACTATATATTAACAGCATATGAAAAGCTTTAATTGATTACATTTTTGGGGCTAAACGCTTTTTAATTATTTTGTTATTCAATTTAAATTAAAAAAGCTTTTTATTGATTTGCTTAAAAACGTTTACATACGTTTTTTATAATATGTAAATAAAAGCTTTGGACTAAATGGTTTTGAATTTTGTATTATTAAAATAAAAGCTGTCTAATAATGTTAAAAGCTTTAAGTTTAATCATATTTAGAGCATTATTCACTTTGAATTAAAAAGTTTTTATAATTATAAGCTTTTGCAGTCTTTTTTTAAAGTTTAAGTTTAAAGTTTTTTGTTATTGTAAGAAAAGCTCACGATAAAAGTAGTTTTCAAGTTCTGCAATAAAAGTTATTGTTCTTTTAAAATTAAACTCCGTTAATAAAGTTTTATTTTAAGCTTTTGATGATTTTAGAAAGCTTTTAAATTTTTTGTTAATTTTAAAGCTTTTAAAAAAGTAAAAGAAACAAATACCAAATTTTGCTAAACTAATGCTTTTTAAGCTTTTAAAACTTAGCGCTTTACGAGCAAATAAAAAAGCTTTTGATGAAAAAATTTAAACATTTGGAGAGAGGTTCCTTTGATTATAAGATTTTAAAGGAATAATAATAAAAGGAATAAAAGCTTTTTCAAAACAAGAGCTTTTTATAAAAATTATCAAAAATTTTAAAAGAAAACAATTGATATTATTCATTTAAATTAAAAAAGCTTTTTACGTTGAAATAAACTTTAATTGCTTAAAAAGATTCTAGACAGAAAGCTTTTGAACTTTGCATTACAAAACAGGCTCTTTTAATATTTAGAACATTTCTGCAACAAATTCTTTGTCAAGGAAAACTCTTTTAAGCTTTTTCATATGATTCTAGATAGAAAGCTTTTGAATTTTGCATTACAAAACAGTCTACTTTAATACCTAGCACATTTCTGTAACAAAGTCTTCATCAACGAAAGCTTTTTTTTCATGACTACAAACAGAACTTTTTAATCTATTTATTTAACACATAAGAATGCACGTTTTCCCTTTCTTAAAGCTAATATGCTGTCATTCTTATTTCAATCGTTATTGTTGTCGTTTTTCTTTTTACCCACATGCTGCAAATGTATTCCATTTATAGCCAAAGATGATGATGGCTTATGATGGCAATTGTTTAGCTATGCTTGCCACACCATCTATGGCAGCTTCATTGCCATATTCTTCTGCTTTAAGTTTTTTTTTACAATTTTCTAAAATTGTTGCTTTTTTGTTACTGCGTGGTGGTTTTTTAATTTCTATTCATTTTTAAAAGATGTTTGCAGCTGCATTGATTTAAAACCATTGGGTGTTCCACTATATTTTACTAGGCTGACTAAGAGTTTGTCTTAGGCTTGGTGGTGGTGTCGCTTGGTTGGTTGGTTGGTGGTGGAATACCATTTAAGAATGCTGTTAGTTTTTGTTTATTTTTGTGTTTTCTTTTATGAAAGCTTGGCGTATAATTGACAGCAAATTAAACGCCTTGTGCCATCATCCCTGATTTATTTACTTATTTTTTATTTTTTTTGTGTTTTTTTCTTTCTCATTTTTACTTTTTAGAATAAAATGTCTCTAACACAAGTCGTTAAGGAAGCCCAGTATAAGACACAAGATGAATTGGAAAAGTTATATGAAGAAATGCCAGAGAATGAAATCGATGAGGTGTTCGATATCAGTCAAGTAGAAGGTGAGTTTTAAAAGAATTTTCCTATAATACAAAAGATATACTAAGTTTATTTTATAACGCTTTACAGCCTGCTCTAAGTTTACTTTAACTTTAACTGGTCCCGATTTTACTTCGTACAAAATTGAAGATCCCTTTAAACGTTTGGGTCCCATTGCCATTTTCTCTGCCCGGCGTCATTGGACCGCACCACGTTGTGTACGCCTACAAAAGGGTTCTTCGATTTATCATGATGGTACCCATTATCACTGTCATTGTCCATCGCCTTCCGAGGGTCATGAGGTGGGCTGCAGTTTGTATAAAGAGGAATTGGAAAGTTTTGGTTTTCATGTTCAAGGTGATTCACCGGTTATGATTGCTCACGTCGAGATTAATTCTCTAGCTGATGTAAGTTTTTCTAGTCGTGAAAAATGGTTTAAAAGGTTTTTTAAATATCTATTCCTTTTTTCAGATGGGTGGCATTAAGGAGGGTGATTTTATTGTCGAAATTGCTGGCATTGATGTTAAATGGTACTTGCATCAACAGGTGGTGCGTTTAATACAATCATGTGGTTCCACACTGGAACTGAAAGTCATTACGCCCATGGATAGGAATTATTTAAAAGTAAGTACCGGAATTGAAACATTTTTAAAAAAATAGTTTCACGAAAAGCTTTATAAACAACTTTTTGAAGCTTTATTTTACTTAAATGAAGTTTTATTATAAAGAAAAACTTTCATAAAAATTGTTTTCCAAAAAGCTTTATAAACAACTTTTTAAAACTTTATTTCACTTAAATGAAGTTTAATTATATAGAAAAGCTTTGTTCCTTAAACTTACTTTAAATGTTTTATTTTTATCAAAATATAAAAAAGATTTCTTAACACTTTAGAACTTTTTTCCAATAGTTTTAAAATAATTTATTTTTTAATTACAAATCATTTTAAACAATTTCATTACGATTAGCTTACATAAAGCTTTCTAAAAAATGTTAACCTTAAAAATCTTTATTTTAGTTAAATAAAAGAAAACAACTTTTAGTAAAGAATCTTTCTTAAAGCTTTTTTTCTAACAACTTTTTCCAATAAAAATCTTAAAAAGCTTTATTTTAGTTAAATAAAAAAAAGCACTTTTTAGTAAAGAATCTTTTTTAAAGCTTTTTTCCTAACAACTTTTTCCAATAAAAGCTTGTTTATAACTTTCATTTAGCTTATAAAAGCTTTAATGATCTTAAGCTTTTACATAAAAAGCTTGAAATCTTTATGTAAAGCTTTTTCAATGAATATTTGTTTCTAACTAAATGAAAGTTATAAACAAGCTTTTATTGGAAAAAGTTGTTAGGAAAAAAGCTTTAAAAAATACAAACACTCCAAAGCTTTATTAAAAAGTATAAAAATGTTAATATTTTATTAATTTAAAGACTTAACTAAAAGCTTTTAAATTTTATATAATAAAAGTAAAAGCTTTTTTAAGGCTTTAATATTTCTTTAAAGTAATTAACAAGTGATATTTAGTGATATCAGAAATAGTTATTTATAAAACCTTTTTAAAAACTTTAGTGATACTAAAACTTAAAAGCTTTTTTAAAAATAATGAAAGGAAAAGCTTTTTTTACATATTTAAATTTACACAAAAACTTTATTTGTTATTAAAACTCCCATTTCTCAACTCTTTTTTCCAGCCTTTATCATCAAAGGGTTCGATTTCCACATTATCTGCTGCTAGTTCTTCGGGTGTTTCATCGGGTTCATCCAGTCCCACTGGCACCACTACGAAACCCAAAATACGCTGTAAGTCTACATCAAAAACACGAGTTGGTAGTGTTTCATCATCATCTTGGAATCCATTTCGACGTACACCTAGTTTAGCTAAGATATTTTAAGATTTTTTTTTTTTAACAGAAAACACAGAATTCGAACAAAAAACTTGAAAAACAAAATCAGTGGCCATTTTACATAAAAAAATATTATAAACAAAAACAAAAAAAGCAATTTATGTTTAATAAACTATTTAAAACTTTTTATTTTTAGTTTATTTTTATTATATAACGATTTAAATTTATCACACAAATTTTATACGACCTTATTTTTAAATGTAAATATATATATTTTTTTTAAATTAACCTAAAAAAAATAACTTTGTAAAAACTTTACTAAAATAATTTCCTTTTATTTTCTAATAAAAAGAAAAATATTTTCTTTAAAACAATTAATGTAAATTAAACAAATATTTACTGTTACAGTTAAGTTTTAAAAACTTTAACAAAAGCTGAACTTTTAAATCAAAATATTTTATTTTATGAATCTTTAACTTTTTTTTGCAAAAAAAAGCTTTGTCGACTTCCAATTCCCTTGAAATAAACTTAAATATTTTTATTGAAATATTATTCTTATTAAATAAGTATGTATGTATTTGTATTTTTTCTAATATTTAAGCCATAAATATTTATACAAACAAGCTGAATATAATTGTATATTTTATATAAAAAACAGAAACAGAAAATCTTGTGAAAATTTAAATATTTGAATTATTTTCAATAAAAAAAATTGTATATATTTTATTAAAATATGGATTGTTTCATTAAAAAACAGAGCTTTAAGTTTTCTATATAAAAAAACTAATGCTTGAGTTGCAGAACTGAAACCGACATCGGATTATTCATTTCCTACTTTACTTAGCCAATTATCATATTAAAAGCTCTTTAATTGTCATAGATATTCTGCAATAAGTAGTAATTACAGCTTTTGAAAAGTTAGCAAAGAAAACTATTTACTATAATCCCCTTATTCACAAACAACATTTTTATTTTATAAAGGTTTATAAAACAAAATTTCCATACAAAATCTACTTTATAAACTGTTTATAAAATAAAAATTTTGTTTGTGAATAAGGGGGTAAATGTTTAGTTTCTTAGCTTATTATTCGTAATAGCTTCGAGATATGTAGTGTAGAAAAAACTAAAATCGACTAGACTATAAACTGAACTATAGACTAAAATATAGAATAGACTATAGAATAAACTATGGACAAGACGATAACTAGAAGATATACTAGACTACAGAGTAAACTATACTAGTCTATATACTAGACTATAGTTTATAATATAGAATGGACTACAGACTAGACTATAGACTAGACTATAGGCTAGACTAGACTAGACTAGACTATAGACTAGACTATAAACAAGACCATAGACTAGACTATAGACTAGACTATAGACTAGACTATAGACTAGACTATAGACTAGACTATAGACTAGACTATAGACTAGACTAGACTATAGACTAGACTATAGACTAGACTAGACTATAGACTAGACTATAGACTAGACTATAGACCAGACTATAGACTAGACTATAGACTGGAATATAGACTAGACTATAGACTAGACTATAGACTAGACTATAGACTAGACTATAGACTGGACTACAGACTATACTATAGACTGGACTACAGACTATACTATAGACTAGACTATAGACTAGACTATAGACTAGACTATAGACTAGACTATAGACTAGACTATAGACTAGACTATAGACTAGACTATAGACTAGACTATAGACTAGACAATAGACTAGACTATAGACTAGACTATAGACTAGACTATAGACTAAACTATAGACTAGACTATAGACTAGACTACAGACTAGACTATAGACTAGACTATAGACTAGACTATAGACTAGACTATAGACTAGACTATAGACTAGACTATAGACTAGACTATAGACTAGACTATAGACTAGACTATAGACTAGACTATAGACTAGACTATAGACTAGACTATAGACTAGACTATAGACTAGACTATAGACTAGACTATAGACTAGACTATAGACTAGACTATAGACTAGACTATAGACTAGACTATAGACTAGACTATAGACTAGACTATAGACTAGACTATAGACTAGACTATAGACTAGACTATAGACTAGACTATAGACTAGACTATAGACTAGACTATAGACTAGACTATAGACTAGACTATAGACTAGACTATAGACTAGACTATAGACTAGACTATAGACTAGACTATAGACTAGACTATAGACTAGACTATAGACTAGACTATAGACTAGACTATAGACTAGACTATAGAAGACTAGACTATAGACTAGACTATAGACTAGACTATAGACTGAACTATAGACTAGACTATAGACTAGACAATCTATAGACTAGACTTAAGAATAGACTGACGACTATAGACTAGACTATAGAACTAGACTATAGACTAAGAAAAACTATAGACTAGACTATAGACTAACTATAGACTAGACTATAGACTAGACTATAGACTAGACTAGACTACTATACTAAGACATAGACTAGACTATAGACTAGACTATAGCTAGACTATAGACTAGACTATAGACTAGACTATAGACTTAAAAAAAGACTATAGAACTAGACTAGACTAGACTATAGACTAGACTATAGACTAGACTATAGACTAGACTAGACTAGACTAGACTATACCTAGAAACTAGACTATAGACTAGACTATAGACTAGACTATAGACTAGACTATAGACTAGAATATACTAGACTATGACTATAGACTAGACTATAGACTAGACTATAGACTACTAGAACTAGACATAGACTAGACTATAGACTAGACTATAGACTAGACTATAGACTAGACTATAGACTAGACGATAGACTAGACTATAGACTAGACTATAGACTAATATAGACTAGACTATAGACTAGAGCATAGACTAGACTATAGACTAGACTATAGACTAGACTATAGACTAGACTATAGACTAGACTATAGACTAGACTATAGACTAGACTATAGACTAGACTATAGACTAGACTATAGACTAGACTATAGACTAGACTATAGACTAGACTATAGACTAGACTATAGACTAGACTATAGACTAGACTATAGACTAGACTATAGACTAGACTATAGACTAGACTATAGACTAGACTATAGACTAGACTATAGACTAGACTATAGACTAGACTATAGACTAGACTATAGACTAGACTATAGACTAGACTATAGACTATAGACTAGACTATAGACTAGACTATAGACTAGACTATAGACTAGACTATAGACTAGACTATAGACTAGACTATAGACTAGACTATAGACTAGACTATAGACTAGACTATAGACTAGACTATAGACTAGACTATAGACTAGACTATAGACTAGACTATAGACTAGACTATAGACTAGACTATAGACTAGACTATAGACTAGACATAGACTAGACTATAGACTAGACTATAGACTAGACTATAGACTAGACTATAGCTAGACTATAGACTAGACTATAGACTAGACTATAGACTAGGACTATCGACTAGACTATAGGACTAGACTATAGACTAGACTATAGACTAGACTATAGACTAGGACTATAGACTAGACTATAGACTAGACTATAGACTAGACTATAGACTAGACTATAGACTAGACCTATAGACTAGGACTATAGACTAGACTATAGACTAGGACTATAGGACTAGACTAGACATAGACTAGACTATAGACTAGGACTATAGACTAGACTATAGACTAGACTATACAGACTAGACTAGACTATAGACTAGACTATAGACTAGACTATAGACTACGACTATAGACTGACTAGCCTACTATAGACTAGACTATAGACTAGACTATAGACTAGACTATAGACTAGACTATAGACTAGACTATAGACTAGGACTATAGACTAGCCTATAGACTAGACTATAGACTAGACTATAGACTAGACTATAGACTAGACTATAGACTAGACTAGAGACTATAGACTAGACTATAGACTAGGAACTATAGACTGACTAGACTATAGACTAGACTATAGACTAGACTATAGACTAGACTATAGACTAGACTATAGACTAGACTATAGACTAGACTATAGACTAGACTATAGACTAGACTATAGACTAGACTATAGACTAGACTATAGACTAGACTATAGACTAGACTATAGACTAGACTATAGACTAGACTATAGACTAGACTATAGACTAGACTATAGACTAGACTATAGACTAGACTATAGACTAGACTATAGACTAGACTATAGACTAGACTATAGACTAGACTATAGACTAGACTATAGACTAGACTATATAGACTATGACTAGACTATAGACTAGACTATAGACTAGACTATAGACTAGACTATAGACTAGACTATAGACTAGACTATAGACTAGACTATAGACTAGACTATAGACTAGACTATAGACTAGACTATAGACCAGACTATAGACTAGACTATAGACTATAGACTAGACTATAGACTAGACTATAGACTAGACTATAGACTAGACTATAGACTAGACTATAGACTAGACTAGACTAGACTATAGTCTAGTCTATAGTTATATTATCATGAACACACAGACGAACGGATGGACGGACATAGCTAAATCGAAAGTGATTCTGAGCTAATTGGTGGATATAGGACCAATACAAACACCAGCCTGGCCATTATAGTGGTGTAGGGTATAATTAGTTAAATTATAACACCCATAATTACGCCTTTAAATTATAAAAATAAAATTAAATATTAAAAATTTCATAAAATAAACATTTAATTATATATTTAATAAAAAATTTATATGCACTTAAAAAGTAATAATTAAATATTAATAAAAAAAAATATATAAAATCATTTTAAAAAAATAATAAATTGAAACCTTAATTTAATTAAATGGAGTTTTTTTTTTTGTTTTTTAAATAATTTTTAAATGATTTTTATTAAAGATTTTTCATTTAAGTTGGTTTTTTTTTGTTTGTTTTTTTTTTTTGTTTTTGTTGTTTTTTTAGTTACACATTTATAATTTTTATTATGCATACATACATTTAAGGATACAATATAATAATATTAATATTATTAATAA